CTGGGACCCATTTCCTGCCCCTCCCCCCATCACTTCCACTGTCCCCCTGTCTCCCTCTCCAGCCCCCCCGGCGCCTCCTTCCTTTCCCTCTGGCTTTGCCCCTGCCTCTCCCTCCCTGGCCTCTTCCCCGCTCCCCCCGACCTGACTTCTCCCCCCACCCCGGCCCAGGGGGTGCAGCCAGGAGTAGGGGGTAGAGTAAGAAAGGAGGGATTCCCCCCCAGCTGGGAGAGAACCCAGGCCTCCAGTCTCTCGCCCCCCTGCTCTACCCCACCAGCCCCGCTCCCTCTCCCAGGGCTGTGGGAGAACCCAGGCATCCGGTGTACCACACCCCATCTCACTCTTTCTGTATCAGGATGGATAGAGGGAGAGGGGTGGTCCTGGAACCAGATACCCAGAGGGATGCATGTGTGTCTGTGTGCACACACACGTGTGTCCAAATGTGAGGGTGTCCATCCATGTCCCCGTGTGCATGCATGTGCATACATGTATCTGTATGTGTGCATACACATCTCTGTGTGTGTACACGTGTGTGTGCAGAGGAGGGAGAGGGTGGATGGAGGGCAGTGGGGGTGGACATACAGGCTGAGCCCACTGAGGATCAGGCCCCCGGGGACGGAAGGGGCCTCATTCCTGGGAAGGAAGAGCCAGGAAGTAGGGCTGGGGAGGAAAAGGGGACTGGATGGGGGGTGTTAATGGGGCACTGGTAGCTCCCAGGCAAGAGGGATGGGGCAGCGGCCAAGAGATGCTCATGGACATAGAGGGAAAACAGCTGGGCCAGGCTGTGGATGAGGGCCCAACCGTAGAGGTGGCTGCATCTCGGTGCCAGCAGGAGGTTGTTAGGCAGGGTAGACAAAGCCTTGGCTGGGATGAGATAGCTGGGGCTGGACCTGCTTGCAGCAGTGGGTTGGACTTGATGACTTCCTGAGGTCCTTTCCAATCCTCATTTTCTGTGATTCCAGCCCCAGCTGTTTGAGAGGAGGCTGGGAACGTGGCCCCTGGCATGTTGACAGCCGCCAGAGTTATCTGTTGCTCCAGAAAGGTCAGCAGGGCTCTGGGATGCTTCTGATTCCACCCACAGCAGCAGCGGCACCAGCACCAGCATCCCTCCCCTTCCACAGCCAAGACAGAACCCAGGTGTCCTGGTTCCCAGCTCCCCAGTCCAGCTCTAATCACTAGACCACATTCTCCTCCCAAAGCCAAGAAAGAACCCAAGCATCCTGGCTCCCACCCCCACTGGTCATGCAGCAGCCCGCCATTAGGCTCCCAGAGCTAGGATGCAACCCAGGTGTCTGCCCCACTGCCTGCCCGCCCACCCCACTTCTAGCAGAGCTGCACAGAACTCAGGAGCTGCTGTTGGCATCACAACAGGGCCAGACCCTGGCACTGGTTCAGTGGGGCATGAAGCAACAGGAGGGCAATTGCATCAGAAGCACAAGATCAACTGTGGAAGCCAGGGCCCTAGGGCTCTGGCATAGGGTGCAGCACGGCTGACGACAGGCAAGAGCTTCACATTGGCAGCGGACTGAGAGGGGTGGCATCTGAGCCCTGGGAACTCCCTTGGCCCATCTCAACAGGACAGACAAGCCCCAGCTAGAGAAGCTCACTCCCCCATGGCCCTCTGCTCACCCCACTCCCCACTCTGTCCCCACCAGCCATGCTGGTGCCCCTCACTCTCAACCCACAGCCACTCCCCCCCCCAGTCCCCCATGCCAGTGCCTCTCCCTCCAGGTCCGCAGCCCCCTACCCCACCCCTCCTTGGGAAACTTCCTATTCCCAAGCTGGCTCCCAGCCTTCCCCCACCCCTGCTTTTAACCCACAAAAACACCCACGCCTTGGGTGTGTCCGTCCCCCCCACTGAACTACAAGCAGCTACATTCCCAGGGCTCCAAGCCCTGGGGACTCCACTCTCCAAAGAGGACACAAGCATGTCATGACACCTGCTGGCCAACGTCAGGAATGCACCCAGCTCAGGCAGGCTGGGGCCTGAGGGCTGGGGCCTCCCCTTTGTGGGGGAGAAACCTGCTTTTGCCCAGCCCAGCGGTTCTCAACCAGGGTGTGATGGCATCCTGGGTGCATAAGATCCTTGCTAGGTGTGCCAGCGCAAGTCACAAGATAGATCCAGAGCTTTCAAACAGGAAACCATCATGTTAAAAGCATCCTGACCTGCTGTGGGCTCGAGTGCTATGGCTCTATTATTTCCCTGTAGTCAAAACAGAGCAAAAGCTCACAGCTGGATTTTTCAAGTCTAAAATGGTTGAGAACCACTGGGCCTGATGGACTGAAATCCCTCTGGGCAGGAGCCAGCTATGCCCATTCGCTCAGCTCCCAGCCTTTGGGGTCAGGAAGGAGTTTTAGTTCATGGTCAGAATGGTATGGACTATGGAGGGGTTTTGCCTTCCTCTAGCAGTGAATATGGCCTCTACCTAGGATTTCCTGTATATATATAAACAACCTTTTCCAGCAGCAGGAGGGTGGCTGCTGTGGTTCCTCTGCTTCACCTGTGGCAATTTGGGGATTATGTCTTGTGTCAGGGTTGACAGTAGCTTTGCCAAGAAGCTAAAGGATCATAGAATCATAGAAAATTAAGGTCGGAAGGGACCTCAGAAGGATATCTAGTCCAGTGGTTCTCAACTTTTTTTGTGCCAGGACCCGTGTGTAAACATCGATGGCCAGTCCCAACCCAGTGCCCCTCATTCCCAACCCACTGCCCCCAGGCCCCAGCCCTCCAGTGTGTGGGGCAGGGGGTGGATGTGTGGGGCTAGGGGTGGGGTGTGAAGCATGGGGGCCCCAAGCAGCTCCTTGCTGGCTAGAAGTTTGCTAGCCTGCAAAGGAAAAGCCACTGTTTCTCATGTATTTCTCCTTTAAAGGAGAATCCATTTTTAAAGTTTGTTCATGACCCTTTCACATATTATTGCAACCCACTTTTGGGTTGTGACCCACAGGTTGAGAAACACTGATCTAGTCCAACCCCCTTCTCAAAACAGGACTAGCCCCGACTAGATCATCCCAGCCAGGACTTTGTCAAGCCAGACCTTAAAAAACTCCATAGACGGAGCTTCCACCACCTCTCTGGGTAACCTATTTGATTGCTTTACTACCCTCCTAGTGAGAAAATTCTTCCTAATATCTAAACTAAACTTCTCTTGCTGCAACTTGACACCATTGCTCCTTGTTCTGTCAAGGTGGCTGGATTGGTACAGGGTGGTTTGGCTAGGGCTGATTCTGCCTCAGGCAGGGTGTTGGAGTAGATGCCCTCTCAAGGGCCCTCCCTACCCAACTGCTCTATGATTCTATACTCTGATTCAAAGATTACCCAATTTGCTCCACAACTGCCTGCCTTTTCAGAGGGGGACCTTTTCTGAGAGCACGGAAGCCTATGCATCCCAATAAGTCAAACTACCATAAAAGAACAGCCCCTTCCAGACCAACATCTTTCCGATTTTACAATAATGCATGTGAACATCTGATGCATAATGCTTTAATTCATCCCACACCTTTGCCTAATCTCATCCTCTACATGATTTAAATTACCCACCACAGATATTGCACTTGCACAGGGGCCACAAAAGGGAGTAACACCTGCCACTCCCACAGTGTTTCCCTCTTTTTCAGGGTTCATTCACACAAGGCAAAACCAAAAGGGAACACAGCCCACAGGGAACAGCAACATCAGCTCATGTCCAAGGTGCCTGGAAGGGCAACAACTGCTTTGCAATTTCCCTCCCACCAGCTTCGCTTTCAATGAACTGATCTTCCACAGAACCTTCCCTAAAAGCTCGTCCCTCAGCAGAGAAGGAACATGGGAAAATTTCAGCCTGAACACTTAACATTGGGCAGAGAGGGAGGAATGAAAAAAGAGGGATGAGAATGGAACAAGTTACACAACCTGAAATCACTGCTGCTCTCACAGTTTGCTCCCCTTCCGGTGGCCAGAGCTGGCATTGCAAGCAAATACCACCCCCACCCCCACTTTTGGCCAGGCTGCATAGGATCCTCTATGGAGGGGAAGCTATAGGGAATTACATTGGAATTGCTGCCCCCCCAGTAGCCAGAGACCACATCCCAGACAGGGTGCTACTCTCTGATGGTGGGAAGGGGATGCACGTGGCTGGAGTGCTGCCTCCCAGTGCTCAGAGCTGGTATTGCAGGTCCCCAGGGGTGGTGCTGCCCTCCTCCAGGGGCTGGAAAGGGCACTGCATCCCCAGGGGGGCGGGATGGAAATTAGAGGGTGGCCCATTAATGCAGGGGTCAGGGCTGTACAACTGTGGAGGAAGTGGGGGAGTAAAAGGTTCATATACCATTGAAGGAGACAAGAGAGGGGAACCCCACATTTTAAAGCTTGCCCCCTGCCCTTATAAAATAAATATTGGAGTAAAAAATATATATATACCAGGAGGTAGAAACCTTGGGAAAGCAAGTAAGTGCTGGGAACCACCCCTGTGGGTGTGGGGGAGTCCAGGTGCAGCTGACAGCAACCACCTCCTCCTAGGGAGGCATGTACTTGCAGGGGGAGTCCATCCAGGGAGGTACAATTGTGGGGTGGGGCTGGTTCTGGAGGCCAGGGTGGCAGTCACATCAGGCACAGCGGGCCAGTGGCCTATGCTCCCAGCTGCATGGTACCAATGGAGGGCAGAGGTGTTGCTGTTGGCTTCTTCACAGGCTGGATACTTCTGTCTCGCTGTTCACTTTCTTCTTCTGTCTTTCCATCACAGCTTCCAGCTCGGAGATCTTCCTGGAGTCCTGGAAGGGCAAAGAGTTGGGGTGGAACCCAGGTGTCCGGGCTCCCAGGCCCAGCCTACCCTCATCCACTAGACCCTGCTCCTCTCCCGGAGCTGGGATGGAACCCAAATCCTGGCTCCCCACTTTCTGCGCTAACCCCCAGACCTCACTCCCCTCCCAGCGCTCGGATAGAAACCAGGAGCCCTGGCTCTCAGCTCCCTGGGACCCAAGGGGAGCTAGTACCTCCAACATGGCGTGGTGCACAGTGACTTGGCTGTAGACTCTGGCTCCTTCTTCAGGGCTCACAGCCTTGAACTCATTTTTGTGCAGGGAGAAGAGCTGTGAGCCATTCAGCACCCCCAGGGCACTCACCGTCCTGGGCAGGGGAAGGAAGCACTCATATCAGCTGCCCCATGGAGCCCCCTCAATCAGCCCATCCCCCACCACCCAAATCCCCTGGCTGTGGGCTTCCCTGCAGCAGTGCCTTGGCCAGAGAAGCCCAGTATCATGAGCTTCCCCACAGCAGTGCCCCGGGCAGGGGAACCCTCCTTCAACACAATACCAACAGTGCCCCCAGCAGGGGAGAGGAGACCCAAATGCTGTGAGCTTCTTCACAGCAGTGCCCCCAGCCATGCTGTGGGTAGGAACTGGGGGAAAACACAGCTTTGTACAGTGGCCCCCCTCCACAGTCACATGACCAGTGAGCACAGCCTCAGCCCTTCTAGGGATTGTTCCAATCACTATGGCATTGGTTTCCTTCTCCCCACCCATCCAATCGTATTTGACAGGAATCCCAGACCAAGGCTGTGCCCAGTTGCAGCTGTCCCAGGATCCCACCAGCCAGTCACAGAGAGGATGCCAAGGTGGAAAAGTCGATCCAATCGGGGTACACCAAGCAGTCAAGCTAGCAAATCAAACAGCTAAGAGACGCTGATGCCAGCCAATCAGAGCAGAGAACAGGTGAAACAAAATGATGGAAGCCAGCCAATGAGAGAGTAGAGCCAATTATGAAGCCACATGGGCCAGGAAAGGTCAATGGTCACTGAGCATGACCCATGGTGACTCACTGGGGGCTGAAGCCTTTGGCCTGCAGCCAGGCCTGGACTTGAGCTGGGTCCGAGTCATAGCCCAGGGGCACGGAGGTGTCCGGGGTCCGCGGGACGTGCAGGGGTTTGGCGGGGCCCGAGCGCCCGTTGGCCAAACGCTGCAGCAGCTCCTCGTTCACACTGTTCAGCTGGCTGAGCCAGTCTGCGGGACAGGAAGTGTTACCCACAGTGCACTGGGAGAGGCGACCCTCCAGCCCCTCCCTGGCCTAAAGAGGGGTGGGGTCATGCCCTGTTTTTCCCACACACAAGGAGCAGCCTCCTGGGGACAACCTGCTACCCCTCCCTCCCCAAACACAGGGGTGGGTCTTCCTGGGACCCCTCCCTCCCCTCCCCACAGAAGGGCAGGGCTCCCTGAGGGCCCTCCCCCCAGAGGGGCAGGGCATTCTTGGATCCCTCCCTCCTCTGCCCATGGGGGGGGGCTTCCTGGGGCTCCTCCCTCCCCCCCCCACAGAGGAGTGGGGCATTCTGGAACCTCTTTCTCCTCCCCCAACAAAGGGGTGGGGCTCCCTGAGGCCCCTCCCCCATCCCCTCCACAGGGGCAAGGGGCTGGTTTCCCCCTGATGGGGCGGGATCTACCCTTCCCCACTCAGACACAGGCCAGGGCCTGGCTCCCCATGGCAATACCTGTCCCACCGAGGGCCCCTTACCTTTCTCACTAGGGTCCACAGCGAGTCCCTCCGTGCTGTCCCACCTGGCCTGGTGCAGGGCTGGGACCTTGGCCTTGGGAGCCAGCTGGGGAGGGGATTTCTATCCAGAAGCGGGGGAAGGCGTTGCAAAGAAGAAGCATTGCCAACCCAGAACCTCATACCAAGCCCCTTACCCCAGCCCAACCCAACCAGCACCCCCTGCTCACCAGGGACCTAGAGATGCCCTGGCCGGAGCTGGAGCCAGCGCTGCTGTTCCCATTGGCTGGGGCAACACCATTGTAGTTGTGGGCACCAGGGGAGCCGGGTCCCGGTGCTGGAGCCAGGATGTTGTAGGGGACATAGCCCGTCTGGCCATAACGGTTCTGGACCTTCCACCACTTCTTGGAGTCTTCTAGGACCTGGGGAGGGAAAGAAATAAGACCTGGGGACTGCTGTGAGCTTCCCCGCAGCAGTGTCCCCAGCTGCTGAGATCTTCCCCACAGCCCCAGCAATGTACCCAGCTGCTGTGAGCCTCTTCCTGGCAGTTCCCCCAGCTGCTGCAAGCTTCCCCCCAGCAGTGCCCCCAGCTGGGGTGACTGCAAGGCAGGCTCACCTCCAGGAGCTCCCCCTGCAGCACTGACAGCTCACTGCTGTTCCTGGCCACAAATTCGTACACACAGCTCACAAACTTGCCATCTCCAGAGTGCCTGTGGCTGGGGAAAAGCAAAGGAAAATATGGGTAAAAGGGGGCCCAGGACACCTGGGTTTTCTGCCTGTCTCCAAGAGGGGAGTGGACCTGGTGGGTTACAGCAGGGAAGAGGCTGGAAGCCAGGACACCTTAGGATACCTGGATGCCATCCCAGGTGGGGAAGGGGAGTGGAGGTTGTCAGATTAGAGCTTACTTGGGGGGGGGGAGCAGTCATGACACCTGGGTTCTCTCCCAGCTCAGGGGGGCAGTGGGGTCTGGAGGGACCCCGTGTTCCTCCTTCCCCACTACTGAAGTGCCTACCCCGATGTGGGGAGAGCAGAGGGGACCCCAGAAGCTGAGCGCATGCAGGGTTGTGGGGAGGAGAGAGAGAACCGGGTGCCCCTCACTCCCTACCTGAGTGGAGCTGCCCCTCAGCCTCCTGCTCTGACCCGGGGGCTCGGCGGAGTGCTGGGCCCAGCCAGGGGGGCGGTGGGGCAGGGCGAGGCTCTCCTCCGGGATCCTCCTTCCTCTCCATCCCCCCATGCTTCCTCAGCGCTGAAGCCTGATCTGCATCCCCCAGTCCCTGCCTGGGGCCTCGTCCCCTGCACTCACCTGAGACCCATTAAAACCCATCCTGCCTGTGCCAGGTTACCACTGCCCCTTCC